TAAATAAATAAATAAATAAATAAATAAATAAATAAATAAATAAATGGAAGATTGGGTAGAATTAGGGATTTGGGGTCATTTTCGCAGTTCTAGAGATTGAACCTAGTCCTGTGCAAACTCTACCACTGAGCCACATTCTCAACCTTGAGTAGGGGCTCTTGGCATTTTTGAATGGCTTCTGCTGCCTAACTTTAATTAGGAAACTTTGACTTGTTGGTATGTTTATGTTTTGGGGTTTTGCCTTTCTTTTTAAAAAGTCAAAACCGGTTGGGCGTGGTGGTACAGGCCTTTAATCCCAGCACTTGGGAGGCAGAGGCAGGCAGATCTCTGTGGGTTCGAGGTCAGCCTTGTCTACCTAGTGAGTTCCAGGCCAGCTGGGACTACAGGGAGTCCCTGTCTCAAAAAGATTACAAAAAAAAAAAGTCAAAACTGGGGGCTGGAAAGATGACTCAGAGGGTAAGAACATGTACTACTCTTGCAGAGGACCTGAGTTTGATCCAACATTCACATGACAGCTCACAACTGCCTGTAACTCAAGTTCCAGGAAATTTGAAGCCCTATTTTTTATTTTTTAATTTTTTGAGATAGGGTCTCCCTGTAACCCCAGCTGGCCTGGAACTCACTATGTAGACCAGTTAGGCCTTGATCTCACAGAGATCTGCCTGCCTCTGACTCCCAAATGCTAGGATTAAAGACCTGTGCTATCACACCTAGCCCAAATCTGTTTTTAAAAAGTCAAAACTGGCGGAGGTGGTGGCGCATGCCTTTAATCCCAGCACTCGGGAGGCAGAGGCAGGAGGATCTCTGTGAGTTCAAGGCAGCCTGGTCTACCTAGTGAGTCCCAAGACAGTTAGGACTACAGGGAGACCCTATCTCAAAAAAAAAAAAAAAAGTCAAAACTGGGGTCTGGAGAGATGGCTGAGCAGTTAAGGCCCCTGGCTACTTTTCCAGAGGGCCCAGGTTCAGTTTCCAGCACCCTCACGGCAGCTCACAACTGTCCCTAACTCCAGTTCCAGGGCATCTGACACTAGTGCATCAACAGCCTTTACTCAAGAGTCCCGGGTGACACAGAATGGCCCAGATTTCTGCCCTGCACACAGTAGGTCCACTTCGGAACACCAGGCTTGTGATGCTTCATTTTATAGCAGGTGGCAAGCCTGCTCTGTGTCCCTTTGGAAGACACCCCACTGCTTGCTAGGAACCCACACTGGGAGTGGCTTGGAGAGAGAATGCATCATAGACACACCAGAAAGAATGCAAGGAGGCTCAGATCCACCGGGTCCACCGTCGGTTGCTTCTTCCAACAGTCACCAATCAGGCGTGGTGGCCTGTGACCTCTGCACTCTGGAGGCTGAGGCAGAAGACTGAGGAGTTCGAGGCTTGGGCAGTGAAACTCTGTCTAAACACAAAACCAAGAAAATAGCGCAGTACCCACCAACAGATAAAAATTCCAGTCGGGGGGAGGGGGGAAGGGGAGGGGGAGGAAGAAGGGAAGAGGAGAAGGGGGAGGGGAGCAGAGCCTAGCGCCCAAGGTGCGGCGAGGAGGCCGGGGCGACAACGCTCGCCCGGGGAGAAGCCGCCGGGAGCAGCCCGGGCAGTCGGAGCCCCGGCTCGGGGGTCGGAGAAGCGCGCGGGGCCGCCAGTCAGTGTGGGACCCCGCGGTTCCCCGGCGCCCAGAGGCCGCCGTGATGGACCACAGCTCCGATGTCCCCCTGGATTGATGGAAAGCGCAAGGGACTGTACTGGCAGAAAGGTCAGAATCTCAGGGAAGAAGAAAGTAAAATCGGAAGTGAAGGGGGCAGAGTGGAGATAACGCGCTGGGTCCCTGCAGCCCCAGCTGGCCTGGTGCTCTCTAGGTAGACCAGGCTGGCCTAGAACTCACAGAAATCCGCCTGTCTCTGCCTCCCAAGTGCTGGGATTAAAGGTGTTTGCCACCACGCCCAGCTAAGAGACATATTTCTACATACATATCAGGGGATGTGTTTCATGTATGATAGTTCATAGCATGCACCACAATGGGAATATTCTCTTTTGTCGACCAGCTACATTGTTTCCAATGTTTCATTATTACAACAAAGTTGCAGTAAATCAACTTGAGTTTTTGTTTGTTTGTGCTTTTTGTGGGTGTTTTTTTTTTTTTTTTTTGAGACAGAGTTTTATATATCCCAGGCTGGAGTTAAATTCAATATGTATCTGAGATAAATTTCTGGTGCTCTGCCTGGAGGAGTTGAGGGAGGTGTGCCACCACACCCAGTTTGAGTAGTGCTGGGGGTCAAACCCAGGACTTCTTGCATGTTAGGCAAGCCCTCTGCCAATTCAGCTCTGTCCCCAGGCTGACGTGGATTAATTTTCTCTGTTTATCATCAGGAGGTGGAATTGGATGCTTCGTGTATGCTGAATATTGGCTTTGACCCAGGAGAGGGCTGGTGAGGCCAAACTCCAACTTGAGGCTCTCAACAGACAGGGCCTGGTTGAGACAGATAGTAGAACCTAGAGTTGGAAGAGGGATACTGAAAACAGGAAGCGGGGTGATTGTTGCCCTCCAATAATCACAGAAGGGAGGCACTGAGGAAACGGGGTGTAGAAGTGTGGGCTGCTCGAGGCATTTTGAGAGTGCCAGGCTCAACGGCACACGTGTTCCATTTACATGGCACTTACTCCTGGAAATACCCCTGGGGTATACCTGTCATTACCCTAGCTACAGGTGATTGAACCAAGTAGCAAATCTGAGAAGCAAAACAGTGGAGAGATTTGCCCCGGCTCATTTAACTAGTAAATGCTACAGATGAGATTAAAATCCAGTTTCATTTAAAGGTCAAAGACCAAGAGCAAAAATCTCAACAGTGCTTGTGTGTGAATAATTCAAATTATTTAATGCCTGTTAAATAGGGGCTAGAGCTGGGTGTGGCGGTGCACTCCTTTAATCCCAGCACTTGGGAGGCAGAGGCAAGCGGATCTTTGTGAGTTGGAGGCCAGCCTGGTCTACATAGTGAGTTCCAGGACAGCTGGGGCTACAGGGAGTCCCTGTCTCAACCTTTTTTTTAAAAAAAAAAAAAAAAAAAAAAAAAAAAAAAAAAAAAAAAAAAAAAGGGCCTAGAGACAGCTTTGGAGGGTGTTGAGGAAGACTTCAGAAAAGGATTTTCTTTTTTCTTTTGAGACAAGGTCTCATTGAGTAGCCAAGGCTGACATCAAACTTGAAACCCTCCTGCCTCTGCCCCCAAGTGCTGAAATTATAGGCATGCACCACCATTCTCTGCCTCAAAGAAGCAAGGTTTTTGAGTGTAACCTTTAAAAATCTAGAGAAAATGGGAATTCAGTCAGGCACACCTTTAATTCTAGCACTCAGGAGGCAAAGGCAGGCAGATATCTGTGAGACTGAGTCTAGCCTGGTCTACATAGGGAGTTCCAAGTCAGATGGGGCTACAAGGAGACCCTGTCTCAAAAAAAGAAAAAGAAAACAGGGATTCCTTTCTTTTCCTCTTATGCCCACCTCCAAACCATCTAAAAATTATGCCATTTCTAACTTCAAAATGGATGTAGCACCATCCATTTGGCTTTTAAAATGCCATTGACCAGCACTCCTTGGAAAGTAGCTGATTCTAGGTTCTAAGGCTGAGATCCAGAAAGTATGAAATAAGCATGCAGAAATCTCAAAGCATTTATTATTGCAGTGTGTGTGTGTGTGTGTGTGTGTGTGTGTGTGTGTGTGTGTGTAGGTCAAAAGACAACTTGTAAGAGTTGGTTTTCTCCTCCCACCATGTAGGGGGAACTCAGGTTGTGAGACTTGGCAGCAAATGACTTATCCACTAAACTACCTTGCAGCCCTGGAAAATCTTTTTGCATCAATGAAGTTTTCAAAGAATGATGAGCATTCATTAGAAACAAGGGACAAGCTTGAAGGAATTACCAAAGACCAAACAATGCAAGGACTCTGAGCATCGCAGTAAGAAAGAGCCGGCTGGGGTGTGGCCTGGCAGGAGCACTTCTGTAGCAGGCTTGAGGCCCTGGGTTTCATCCACAGCACTGAGAGGAGAAGGAGGAGGAGAGGGAGGAGGAAAAGGAGGAGGAGGAAGAAGGGAAGGAGGAGGAGGAGGGGAAGGAGCAGATGAACACATTGAATAAAGAAGGAAACCTGAAATTCATACTTCTCCAGAAAATACTTGACAGACAAGAGGAAGGAAGGAGGGAGACAGGAGAATTTAGGAGTGTTGGTTCTTTTTTCAAAATACTTATTTATTTCTTTTTTATTACATGTTTGAGTATATTACCTGCATGTAGGTAAGTGCACCCATGTCATGCAATGCCCTCGGAGGTCAGAAGAGACCATTGGATCCCCTGGAACTGGAGTCATAGACAGTTGTTAGCTGCCATGTGGGTGCTGGGATTCAAACCCAGGTCTTCTGCAAAAACAGCCAGTGTTCTTACCCGCTGAGCCATCTCTCCAGTCCCAGGAGTGTCAGTTCTTTTCCAGTAGGAATCCTTTACAACCACAACTGGTTCAAGTAAGAGTGGATGTTAAAACTGCTGGGTGTGAGACAGACAAAGTGGTGCGTGCTTGTAACCCCAACACTTGGGAGGTGGAGGCTGGAGGATCAAGACTTCAAGTCCAACTCCATATATAGTTGTGGAAAACGTGGTCCTCTGGGTGTGACCAGACCATTTCTGGACAGGAGGTGCCATGATGAAGAGAGACACCAACCAGCCTGACAGCGAGACAAGAACATGCACTGTATACAGAGCGCTGTGATGACTGACAGTGAGGCTGTTGGCATTTCTTCTGGGAACAGGGGTTCAGTACTACAGATACCCTCCTGGAGGGATTGTTGAGGCCACTACCCCCCTGCTTGTCTCTCTCCCCTCTGCTGCTGCCCCTAGAGAAAACAAAGGTGTAATGTAGAGGTGGTCAGACTTCGGTGGAGCAGTTGCCCAGAGTCACCTGCCGCTAACTGTCAGGAACCCCAAACAAAGCTCCCTTCACCCGGCAAGCTGTATTGCTAGTCATTCTTAGTGCTCTCTATACCTTCCCAGTTTAGAGGAAGAGACCACATAACTCTGGAAGATTCATACTCAAACAGCGATGGTCTTAAAAAAATTATGTGTAGGCCGGGTGTGGTGGTGCACACCTTTAATCCTAGCACTTGGGAGGCAGAGGCAGGCGGATATTTGTGAGTTCAAGGCCAGCCTGGTCTACATAGTGAGTTCCAGGACAGCTGGAGCTACAGGGAGACCCTGTCTCAAAAAGAAAAAAAAATTATGTGCATAAGTGTGTGTCTGTGTGGGAGTGCGGGCTTGTAAGTGCAGGTAACTATAGAGTGAAGAGGTATTAGATTCCCTGGGGCTGGAGTTACAGGTGCCCAATATGGGGATAGGAACGGAACTCAGGTTTTCTGCAACAGAAGTAGGTACTCAGCCTCATGGATACATTTAATTACAAAGGGAAACTAGTAGGGGCTGGAGAGATGGCTCAGCAGTTAAGAGCACTGGCTGCTCTTGCAGAGGACCTAGGTTCACTTCCCAGCACCACCATGGCAGGTAACAACTGACCATAACATTAGTTCTAGGGAATCTGACACCCTTTTCTGACTTCCGTGGGCATTGCACACATGGGTGTACTTACATAAATGCAGGCAAAACACTCATACACGGGGCTAGAGAAATGACTCAGTGGTTAAGAGTCCTGGCTGCACTTGCAGAGGACCCAGGTTCAATACCCAGCACCCACATGGTGGCTAACAACTATCTGTAACTCCAGTTCCAGGGGAATCTGACGCCCTCTTCAGACTTCCGAGGTCATTGAACAACACAGGTATGTTTACACACATGCAGGCAATACACTCATACACATAAAATAAAAATAATAAATAAAAACACATACACATAAAAAATTAAAAATAATCAGTAAAGGCCAGGCGTGGTGGTGCATGCCTTTAATCCCAGCACTTGGGAGGCAGAGGCAGGCAGATCTCTGTGAGTTCAAGGCCAGCCTGGTCTACATAGTGAGTTCCAGGACAGCTTGGGCTACAGGGAGACCCTGTCTCAAAAAGACAAAAAAAAAAAAAATAATAATAACAAGTAAAAAACAAGGGAAACTAAGCCAGGCTTGGTGGCACACACCTTTAATCCCAGCATTTGGGAGTCAGAGGCAGGTGGATCTTTGTGAGTTCGAGGCCAGCCTGGTCTACATAGCGAGTTCCAGGACAGCTGGGGCTACAGGGAGACCCTGTCTCAAAAAGACAAAAAAAAACCAAGGGATACTAGTAACTTCATAGTGGAGAAATCTAGTAGACATAATTTTAACCAAGTAACCAAATTTAACAGTAATTAGATAAACATCATCGGCTTCCTGATACAATCCAATAAGAAGCATACTGCAGTGTTCTGTGGTATTCCTAACAAAAAATGTAGTCCAACCATTAAGAAATACTAACCAGAGCTGGACAGGTGGCTTAGCAGTCAAGAGTGTGTACTGCCCTTGCAGAAGACCCAAGTTGGATTCTCAGCACCTATATTGGGTGGCTCACAACCTCCTGTAACTCCAGCTTCCAGGGGAATCTGATGTCTCTGGCCTCCTTGAGCAGCTGCACTGATGTGCACATACCACACCCACCGCTACACATTATTAAAAATAAACTGAATCAAAAGAAAAAAAACAAACAAACATGAGGCTCAGGGGATGGCTCAGTTGCTAACATGCTTGCCTGGGAGCATCAGGACCTGAGTTTGACCTTCAGAAGAGATGAAAAACGAAAACAAATAAGCAAGACATGGGGATGCGTGCTTATAATCCCAGCACTGCGGAGGTGGTGATGACAGGTAGCTCCCTGGAGTTTACCGGCTGGACAGCCTAGTCCACCTGGCAAGCTCCAGGCCAGTGAGAGACTCTATCCCAAACAAAATGGTTGACAGGACCTGAGGAATGACACCTGAGGTTGTCCTCTGATCTCCACACACATATGTGTGCACATGTACAGTGGCCCATGCCTGTAGTCCTAGCCACCTGGGAGACTGAGGCAGTGTGATCACTGAGCCCAGAAGTTAGAACCCAGCCTGGGCAACATATCAAGATCTCATCTCTTAAAGAAAATAGGGTGCTGGGTGTGGTGACAATTGATTTTAATCCCTACACTTAGGAGGCAGAGGCAGAGGCAGGCAGATCTCAGTGAGTTCAAGGCCAGCCTGATCTACAGAGTGAGTTCCAGGCCAGCTGGGGCTACAGGGAGACCCTATCTCAAAGACAAAAAATTTAAATTAAAAATAATTTTTTATTAAAATATTTTTTTATTTATTTTTGTGTGTATGAGTGTATTGCCTGCATGTATGTGAGTGCACCCATGTCATGAAATGCTGCGGAGATCAAAAGAGGGCATCAGATTTCCTTGGAATGGAGTTAAGGAGGGTTTGTAGCCAACATGTGGGTGCTGGGAATTGAGCCCCGGTTCTCTGCAAGAGCAGTCATTATTCTTAACTGTTGAGCCATCTCCCCAGCCCACAAATAATAAAATATTTATAGAAAGAAAAGAATTAGCTGGATGTGGTGGTGCATGCCTATAATCCCTGCACTCAAGAGGCTGAGGACTGCTACAAGTTTGAGATAGGCCTGGTATACACAGTGAGTTCCAGGTTGCCCAGGGATAAATAATAAGATGCCCTGTCTAAAAACTCCTGGGGATGTAGCTCAGTTGGTAGAATG